TCGTAGGAATTCTGTTTCTCGCAGGCCATTTTTGCTAGTCGTATTGTATGTAGGGTTTATTTAAATGAGTATGGATATATTAAAAAAACTAAGAACTATTCTAAAAGAATACAAAAAACAACTCGAGAACAGTACAAGTTGTATTTATTGGATTTGAAAGACAGAAACCAAATTTGATACTATATCAATCCTGCTTCCTGATTATCTTTTCTGTTGATGTCATCGGCTTTGACAACTCCGGCCAGTAGCTTTGTTTTCTGTGTAGGTTATGAAGTATTATTATAATATAGGTAACTTCCATAATATAGGTTTTGTTACTGTTTCGCACCCCCTACTTTAGCAACAGCACTGTTAATAAGAATCAAATAGTAAATGGTCGAATGGGCAATCCGAACTTTGAATCAGATTTATTTTTAAAATAAATAAATTAGAAAAAAAATTCCTTACAAATTGTACTTGCTGTACCTATTAGGTAGATGGCAATTTAGTTGTAAACTTTATAAAAAAGTGCTTTTATTATTTAGAACACATCCTGGTTTACAATGAAAAATGAGAGGGAATGGAAAAAATACTATAACGACACTTCATATTATTAACGACAGCTCTGTGGCTATCGTTGTCTACTGAATAAGAAAAGTCGTCTGTGAACGATTATCGTCTATTAACGATGTCGTTATTTAATAGGCCCCTTAAAGGCTGTATAAGGACCGATTCCACTGTTGTGTTAAACGGAGATTAAAATGACATTGTTAATGTAAAAATGTAATTTTAAAATTAAGGGGCCTATTCAGTAACTCTAAACGACGTCGTTAATAGACGATAATCGTTCACAGACGACTTTTCTTATTCAGTAGACAACGATTGTCGTTGAAAATAGACAAATATAGTTATAAAATTGTCGTTCATCAATGATAGCCGTCGTTAATAATATCAACGGTGAAGACCGATAAACGATGTCTTTTATAAAGGTTGAGACGAGTCCAAAAACCGTTACGGCTCGCGCATTCATTTCGCGCACACATATTACCAACTATCTCCCTTTTGCTTAATCATTATTATCGATTTTGAATTCGTGCATTTCTGTTGGATAATAAACGCATTAGTTATTTTTATTTTATTGGATTTGCCAACCTTGTCCTGAATTGATTCTTAAATAAATTCAACAGGGGCGGCCTTGAATCATTCCCCCGATTCTGATACTTATGTTACAGGTATTTCTAACAAATACCTTCCAAAAAAATAAATCACCCTGGATATTTTGAAGCTTAGAGGTACACATATTTAAATGGTATTACCTTTCCCAAAAAATCAATCCATAATTACAGGATTTTAAGTTATACCTCAAAAAATATAATTATATGTCGTGGTTCTCTCTATAAAACACCTTGTATAATAAATGTATACTGTAATATTTTGTCACCAAAATACTATATTGAGTAGTACTTTTAGAAAATATGTTTCCTTGACGTCACAGCAGAATTAGTGAGTTTTTGCAAAAAACTACCATCATACATTTGTGAATAACCCTGTAATTAAAAATATTTTTAATAGGACGTATATACTTATGTATTACTAAAACATGTAGTAAACGTGTTTATGCAACATAAATTCAATCTAGCTCATAAGTTTCAAAATAAAAATTCCAAAAACTGGGCATTTTTCAACTATTCATAGGATTGAGTTGGGCCTGATTGACACTTTTGGTTACAAAAGGCATTTCTTTATAAGCTTACTACAACATACTTGGTTACAGTATTGTGGTTACTGTGGTGACATTACGCATACCATGGTTTCCCTATTATTGAATGTCATATGTCAAATTTAATTTTAGTTTGGGGATTTCTAAACGGAATTTGAATTTTAGAAATTTTAGGATGTTTTGATTTTGTTATTTTTTATTATAGTATGTTCTAGTAAGCTTATAAATAAATGCCTCGTTATATGTAGCTACATATGCTTTGGTAACATGTAACCAAAGCAGAGTAACCAAACGTTATAAAGAAATACTCTGGTTACAGAAGTATGTTCTGGTAAGCTTATAAAGAAATGCCTTAAGTTGAGTACAACAACATACCACAGTTTCAGAAAATTTGACCGGTCGCAATTTTACATAAGAAAAGTACGCGGGGTCCTTTAATATATTACAAAAATTTATTTTATTATTCAAAACTAGCCAATCTACTAAACATTTCATCATCACTTTCGTCACTATTTGTTTCATCACTATGTTTTCTTTTCAAATGAATTTGTAAATGAGTTTTTTGAGTAAAAGCTTTATCACAAAAGTTGCACACAAATTGTTTTTCCCCTGTGTGTATTCGCATATGAATTTTCACATGACTTTTAGTCATGAAATCCTTTTTACACATATGGCATTCAAATTTTTTTTCGCCTGTATGACTAATCAAGTGTCGTTTTAAATCACAATTTCGTATAAAAGTCTTCGAGCACAAGTTACAGAGATATTTTCTTTCTTCGCCCCCAGTATGAGTCATGACATGCCTCTTTAAACTGGTGTTTTGGGAAAATGCTTTCGGACACAAATGACATTTGTAGCTTTTTTCTCCTGTATGCGTTGCAAAGTGTTTCTTTAATTGAGAATTATCTAAAAAAATAAAATTCAAGAAATAACATGTATGACGTAGCATCAAAATTTAAAAAAAAAATCCAATTTATTTTATTTGTACAGGGAGAATCCAAAGTTGATAAATCTTTTTAACTGTGTGTAGAAGTCATTGAAATAGACAACATTTTCAAAAAACCTTGATCACCTTCATGTCATTATAAGAGCCATTCTCAAAACTGAACACTGCGGGGGAAATCTTCAAGTTGTAGTGTTTGAACAAATTGAATTTAAAAGGGATGAAATTGATTTTCCCACAATGTTTATTCCTTATTTATTACAATTAAAAAAATTATACAAAAGATGAAAAAAAAATATCACAAAATAAATAATCATAGTTCATTGTAATTGAGCTCGAGCTATGTGAGCTCTCCAGACATTTCAATTATATAGAAAACTAAATTAAAAAAATTAACATTAAATACATATAAGAAAGAATAATTACAAGATATATATCAGAAGAATTTAGTTCATTTATTGCACTTGAAGAAATCTGCAAATACCAATTTCTTTGTGTTATGAAGGATGTTGTTGGTAGATATCAAATTCTTTAAGGGATCCCGTTTCATGTAAGGATACTTAATAAACTTCTCTGTCCCATTGATGTTTTCATTGATGCTGCTGAAGAAATTTTAAATTTCGAGAACCTGTTAAGGTTTCTTCGAAAAAGTATGGCAATAGTCTTATCTCTTATTCTTGCCCAAACATTCACTTTCTCTGGGTATTGAGTATGGTACTCTTGCATCCAGTGTGGATTTTCGGTAGCCCAGTACCGAGAAGTCTGACGATTGACATGACCATTTATTAAAAATGTAGATTCATCAGAAAAAAGTATATTTTTTAAAAACATTGGATTTCTGTTGATTTGATCCATTATAATTTTACAGAATTCAACTCGTTTATCAAAACCATATTCCATAAATTCTTGTACTAAAATAACTTTGTAGGGTTGCCACTTTTGCTTTTTTAGCGTTCTAAGAACTGTTGAATTTCCCATGTCATTATCTAATGCTACTTGCCGTGAATTGGTAAGGGGATTATTTTCAAAGACTAGCAGAACATCCAGTTTCTTGTTTTCAGAAAATAGGTTTCTACTATCTTTAGTGATGTCTTTCACATGGCCCGTTTCTCTGAATTTTTTTTCAATTTAACTCACAGTGGATTATGAAATTGGTTCTCCGTTTGGGTATTTATTATTAAATAACGTTCATACATCTTTCTGCGTACGTGTTTTATCTCCACAACCAATCATTATTAAAACTTCAATTCTTTGCGCTTCAGTCAGCTGCATGTTGATAAATACAAAAACTTCTTGAAAACGTCACCATAATAGTATTAACCACTTATAGAAAGCGAATTAAATTGAATGTCAATGTAACGATTATAACTAGATTAGTTTTAGAAAAAGTAAAAAATAATAAAGAAATATTTTTTTTTTACAACAAAACTAAATTACTAAGGGTCGATTCGACCGTTTTGTGTTAAACGGAGATTAAAATGACATTGTTAATTTAAAAATGTCATTTTAAACTTCGTTTAACACAACGGTGGAATCGGTCTTATGACAATTGATATAACTGAATCAAAGATATCGGATAAATAGATACGCCTTGTATACATTACACTTGTCCGCAACTTTTTTTTGACAGTACGCTCTTCCTATGTTGTCAGATCTCTTTCATCAAATATCAAACATTAAATTTTTATTAAAAAAATTACTATTACCTTTAATACAATGTAATAAAAAAAGGAAATAAAGAATTGAAAGCATCAATATGAGTTTTTATTAATTGCAATCACTTAAAGACTTTTATTTAGCTATTTTTACATGTGTTTCATATGTGAATATTAAACATTCTGGTATATATCTTTTAAGTTTGGCAACCTAAGACATTTTGCTGATGTTATCAAAGTGACAGATCAAATTTTATTGTGATTTTTGTGTTTTTTTGTAGTTTTCAAGAATAATTTAAACCTTGAACTTTTTAATAAGGACTTTTACGATGGGGAGGAAATGTATAGCGTGCGGAAATACGCAGAAAAGAATGTTATTCGATAATTTCATAAGTAAGATTATGTTAGCATAGACGTAGGCATATACGGGGAATAAGGCTTAATTTATTTAACAGTGTAAAAGTATTTAGCACTAGCATTGTTTATTTAAATAATAATGTTCTATATTTTCTGATCAGGTTTCCTAGAGAAATTATTCAACGTAGAATTTGGCTGCAAAATCTATGCTTGGTGGAGGAAGACATTATGAAAATGAAAGAAGCCTTAATATGTTCTGACCATTTTTGCATGGCAGACATTTATGAAAATTTAAGTGGTAGACACATCTTAAAATATAATGCCATACCTATCAAGTAAGTACAATGCGCAAATATGGGGTAATTTTGTTGATTTCTCCTTAAATTTGTGTGTTTTTTAATGGACTGTATGAATAGATTTTACTGGTTTTGGGTATTCAAACTTCGACACCACTTTTAATAGAGTTTATTACAATATTATTCGGTATCCAACAAAAGAACAAGTTTTTGATACGAAACACAGGCACAAACAATGCTAGAATACGTCTAGTATGAGGCTACTTGCTTTTCTAACTGTTTTACTTAATAACACCCCGAGATAATAAGTTTTAATTCACTTTTTCCGAGAAATAAGTGCCGGCCGGCTAACGCCCACAAAGTGCGAGAAAACTCACACACCACAAGTAGTACATCCTTCTCGTCTTGAGTCAAGATTGCTTCTGTTTCTGTTTTAAACTTTAAAAACAATCTCCGAGATTGCAAAGTTTATGAGAGGAGGTAAAAAATAAGAGGGAATTGCCAGGGTTGGTTGGAGTTACGTCATGAACTACCAATAGTACCAATCAAACATAAATGATGTTGGTTGCATAATGTTAGATGCGGTTTAGCAGTTAATTATATAATAAGGGGCGAGAGGAACAAATATATTTAAATTCGGTGTCTAGCGGCGTAGGGGAAAGAGGAGTAAAATAATTGATGTATTCTGGCGGAGAATAATGTTAAGTTATTTTCCAACAGACAGTATTTATTATGGGTATTTTTATAATATGTAAGCTCTAAAATTATACAGTAGTAATGAATAAAAATTTAGATTTTATTCTTACTTACAAGCTTTCTCAGGACCATTTGGAACTTTTTCTTAGTGCAGTTCGTAACGGATGTGGCTTCAATAACAATCCCACATGCAGATTGTTTCAAAATTGTTATAAAAAATTATTAATTCATAATGAAGTGAAGTCAAATAAAACTGCCAATGCAATTGCTTTAGATGGCACCAGCATCTTGGATTGTAGCAAAATTGCGTTAAATTTAAAATGTTACGAATCAGACACTTCTGAAGAAAATTTGGAATTTACAAATGAGCTTCGTGACCATGAATATCTATCTATATATTTTCTGAGCGAATACATTCAGGATGTAGTTGCCTACATTTCTGGTTTTATAGTAAAATCCTTCAAGAACAAGATTCACTGCAAACAGTGTTTTGCGATTTTAGAAGGAGATTACAGTTTATCAAAACTGCAAAATCAAAAAAACTTACAGAAAATTACAAAAAGCTTCTAGATTTGTAGTTACTGTTTGTAGTGAAGCTGAAAAGTGTATAAAAACAGTTTCAATGAACATACACAGTAATAATATTATTAACATTGCCAATATAAAATGTAAATTAGTAAATAGTTCTATGCGATATTTGCCTTCAAATATTTTTGATGTTTTTTCTAACCATATTTTTGATTTTGAACCACTTAATGACCATTGCATTACTGTCACGAAGCTCATTTTAGATAAATATATAGACATTCGACTTCATCATGAATTTAATAAATTAAAAACTGTTAATAAAGCCAGAGTGAGAAGTTTACTTACAAAAAGCATTTTATTTCAGAATCAGTAATTTTTAATTTTAATTATTTGTATTTTCCTTCAGTTTTTTTTTTCTATCCGGACAAATTAGAAATAAAGTATCTCTTGATAATCTTAAGCTAATGTGTTTCAGCCTTGTTCAAATATTATAAGATCATTGCTGATTACTCTCCTACATGAGTTATTGTACCATTACACAAATAATGTCAAAAATAGGTGTCTTGACATGCAACCCAAATGGCATGTAATGGTAAGATCCTATTTGTATATTTATGTAGGTATCTGAAATAAAATTGTTCTATTGTTTTTAATAAGTTTTTTATTTCATAAAAAAAGGTAGTCCGCAATATATTTATTCTTTTTTCGAACTGTAGAAAAGGATTTCTGACAATACCCATGTAAAAATAATAATAATAAATGGCTTTATATTTTTACTTACTCTTCATGTATTTAAAAAAACAAGATAATATATAATAAAATACTAACAAAAATGTTCTTCCACTTTGAGCTACCTACTATTTTAATCTATAAGAAAATATATAAAATGACTTATTGAATGCCCTGTATAATATTGAATATGTTTTCTTTAAATTTACCTAAATAAAAATATATGTAAACCCTCCCGAAACACTACGTCTATGTGCGACGTACGATTCCCCTTTCCCCGTCTGGTATAACGTGCGGACAGAAGGTGTATTGGGTATACAGTGTGAAGGGCGAGTCTATCTTAGATAATATGATGTCTATGAACTGAATAGATATTTAGAAGACCTTTCAAATAATGTATTACAACACACACTTTTCCATTTAAAATTTGTATTGATGACTTCATCACACTCACACAGATGTCGTTAAGAATAAAAAAATATTCTGATGAAGCGCCCGTTTAAAAACAAAAATCGACGTGTTTCAGGATTTTTCTCGAAAATCACTGGTTTACGAAATAATGAATTTATTCCTTTCATTAGCACCATACAAAGGCAAGACGTCGGTAGAGGACATTTAGTAGAATATTTTTGAATTATTTTGCTATGAAATTGTCATTAAATTATTTTTTTATTATTATCACTACTTTGTTAGATTAAGCACTTAATGTTGTGTTCTCAAAATAAAATAAAATTTATGTGTCTGATCTTTAAATGACTTTTATTCAAAAAAATTGTTATGCAAGATATTACAAATATTATGTTTCCGTGTAGGAAATTGTAAGATCTATCAAATACAGAAAAAAAAATTGGGGTTACTATTTAAAAAATTGTCAATGACGTAGTGCCCAAAAATGGGAAGTGGGGAAACTTGATTATTTTTGACAAATTGCGCTTTTAGTAAACAAAATTGACCTGACCGAGCATTTTTTCAAAAAACCAACTACTTCTATTTGCCTTGAACTCGCAATATTTTCCATGATTCTAAGTAACATGCTGTGATTCACAGTATCAAAGGCCTTTTTTAGATTCAATGATATAAATATAGATCCCAAGCCCTTATCTCTTTTATCCAGAATACTAGTAATTATAGACCGTCAGATAGTGACCGCTTTAGGTGCCCCATTTTCGCATGCAAGCCTCGAACAATAAAAGAAAATTTACGAGTAGCTCTTGGGGATAACACATGGAAAATTCGATTTTTCTTATCCGAAAACTTTTCCGACCCCAAAATGCACTTATACATTTGGATCATTCAAGAAAATATGTTTTTCGGACTAGTGATGACGTACGTTTTCATACATTCAATAGATTTGTGTGAAAAAATTGGGTAAAATCTCAATTTTAGAAGATTAATCCCTTATTTTAACCCGTTAGCCACTTGTAACATTAAAGCCTTTGGTTTTTCGAGGCCTGGTTCTAATAATTAATCATATATGTAGTGAACAAATAACCTTTCATTTTTGTTAGGGAAAATCGAATTTTCTATGTGTTATCCCCAGGAGCCACTCGTAAATTTCCTTTTATTCTAATTAAATTCGATGTACTCTTCGAGGCTTGCATGCGAAAATAGGGCACCTATCACTATCTGACGGTCTATTAAGTCGAGAACAGCATTAGCTGTACTAGATCTTGGTCGGACCCATACTGACCAGAAAACATCTTGGTCTAGGAATTTGCAGTCTTTTATTTCCATCATCTTGGATATTACAGACAATAAAGATGTGGGTCTATAATTACTGGACATGGAGGAAACCTTTAAATATAGGAATAATTCTTGCTACTTTAAGTGCATTTGGTACAAAGACAGATGTAGAATTTAAATAAGAACACTTAGTATCATTATTGAATTCCTTTAATATTTCAGCTATTAGATTATCTTTTCCAGGACTTTTATCTTTCTGGGCACATAATATTATATTACTAATTTCTTGAGCTGTCGTTGGTTGTAAGTGAAAGTTACTTACATTATATGACCAGGACGTAGCATTCTTAACTGGATCGCATAACTGGGCAAGTTCCGATCCTATACTGGTAAAGTAGCTATTTATTTCTTCCACTATTATCTTTGAGTCATTGATTTCAAAGGCATTAGCTGTCAGTGAGGAAACTTCAGAGCACTTTTTCTGTTTAGAGTTACTAATAATAGTATTTAGAGTTTTCCACATTTTTTTAGGATCACTTCCAGCACTAGTTAGTTGATCTTGGTAATATTCGCGTTTCCTTTCTTCAATAGCCGACTTAAGAGAAGTTTGAACACTTGTTTACAACCTCTTTAAATAAATGTTGTCCACACTTTTCTTTGACTTACTCCCACCTGATCTGCAATCACCCGCCTACTTCCTCGATAAAATGTGTTCTTCTAAAAGCACTTCGACCACTCAACTGAATTACAATAATCGATACACAATTGAATCGTGATTCGTAAGTAAAACCAATAAAAAAAAGATAAAAACAGACTTATTTAGCGTAATTGTTCATACACAAATCCAGTCCCGCATTTAGATTTTTTAATTCGGTATCTTTATTTTTAAGTTTTTGAAAGTTATTTGAAAAAGATATTTATTTTAACGACTTCTACATATAGTTAAAAAAGTATCATTAAATAAATCATGGCTATTTAACCCAAGGTAACTAAATCGCTACTTGAAAGGGACTCTTCCTCCATTTCTTACCCGTAGTGGCAAAGCCATTACTTCACAATCAGTACACTTTCAGACGCAGCTTGGAGTTCATCTTGAACGATTTCAACAAATTTCCGGCCATATTTATCTCTCTCTCACGTGAATTAAGTAGGGTAATTGTAAGGACACCTTTCAAGTAGTAGTTTAGCTTCCTTTCCTCCATTGTTAATTAGACATGTGCCATCAAATACAAAAACAATTTTTAATAAATCTAGTGAAGACCAAAGTAGTGAGTTCTAATTCACATTAGAATAAAGAAGAAAACTGTCTGTGTCACAGAAATTCTTTCGGATTACTTCTTTTTTAATCAACCAAAATCATGGGAGACGAGTGAATCTTGCTTCTACAGCTTCTTTAGTAAAAAATAATGTTCTCTCTGCTTTATCTAGTAATAATTCAACATCTGTCGAAGCATATAGCCAGAATTGTAATTGTTTTTTGGAGGAAAGCTGTTGCCTCGTATGATCTCTGTGACACAGATTTTGAGTTTTTCTTCTTTATTTATATTTTGGTCATTCACATTTGGGTAAAATATTTTCCACAAGATTATAGTCATAAAATTAATAACATTAAAAAATAAAAAGGATTTATAGCAATACAACTTCATACTCAATACATTTGAAATGATTTAGAAGAAAAACTATTTAAGATACAGATTAAATATGAAAAAACATTTTTTTTTTTTTTCAATAACTATTTTATTATATAAAGCATAGAAGAAAATACTGTACCTGGAAAACTTTTAGGGCATATACTACATGAATGATTTTTTTCACCAGTGTGTACTTTTAGGTGAGCATTTAAATGAGACTTATTTGCAAAAGATTTTTCACATAGATCGCATTTGTAATTTCTCTCTCCAGTGTGAACCACTGAATGGATTTTTAGGTGAGTATTTGTATAAAATCTCTTTCCACATTCTGGACAAACATGGTCTTTTATACCACTGTGTATTTTCAAATGATTTTTTAAATTGGAATTATCAGCAAAACATTTAAAACAAATTTTACAAGAGTACTTTTTTTCTCTTGAATGTACCACTTGCAAATGCCTTTTTAATTCTGATTTTAATACTTTGAAGCAGACTGGACATGTTATCTGTCTTTTTAATAATTTTTCTTTATTTTTGGTATCTTCATAAACTTTCACTTTTTCAGTTAAATCTTTTTCTTGTTTACTATTGAAATCATTATCATTTGATAATCTTTCACATTTAATTAAGTTATCATCTAACGTATCTTTTTCAAGTTTTATTGAATCAATATTTAAGACATTTAATTCATTTGAAAATTTTGGATCATGTATATCAATGAAAAATGGTTCTGGGCATGTTTCAGTATTATCATCTTCCGAAGGCTCTTCTTTTATGGATATAAACGGTATTTCTAAACCTTCTTTAGTTTCGGATATTTCATTTTTAAATGCTACATTTGTGAGTTCAGCGCAATTTTTTTTTTCCATTGTAATTAGTTTGTCCTTAAAAAAAAATATTCAACATAACTTATCTATAACTATAGTCAGCCTCACTGTGGGTTTACAATACATAAACCATAGGCTCAAATAAATCTGTGGAAGTTATAATTTCTGTGTAGCCAATTGACCTTGTGAATATTTAACTTAAAAGCCATCAATAGTTATTAAAATTGTATTATAAGTAGCTCGCCGATTGTTATTCAATTTTTATTTTTAGTGGAGCTCCTGAAGCATTAAAAACATGAAAACCTCGAACTTGAGCTACAGTGAAAGACATTTAAAAATCCACAATGAAATATTTTGCTAATATAAATAAAAAAGTTTACCAATTTAAAAATTGTTATCTTGATTTAAAAAATAAATAAATGATAATTTCAATAATTCAAATAGTATTCAGATGGTAATCAGGAAAAAGAAGTAAATGAAGGAAAATTAAATAAAATAAGAAAATTACTAATAAAAAGTTTTTTTATTTAAACAATTTACATTTTAAATATTTTTTTTTGACTTCATTTATTTAAATAATAAGTGGAGTATTAAAACAACTATTTTCGCTGCACTGTGAATATGCTGCCCTGTGAATATGCTACACTACAGTATAAACCACTTTTCCGACATCCCTTTTTACAATTGAAGGGCTTATTGTAAGAACGTGATAAGCCATACCTTTAAAAATAAAGGTATTTTTACTTCACGACAATAAAAAATAATGTGACGCGGAGCCAACCCTGTGTACGCGCAGCCAACCCTGTGTACGCGAAGCCAACCCTGTGTACGCGCGACCTTGGAAGTCTGCCACTCGATTCATGATCGAAGCAACGGTGACGTGTGAAAACAGCCTCGTGTCTCGTATATACAAATCTTCTAGGTATCCGCTGACGCTTCGAGAAACTGCCGTTGAGTCAGAGATGGAATTTTCGGGGCGCCCAGAAACGACGAGCACAGAATTGGCTTGGTATAAATAGCCGACTCATCGGCGCACAGTTTAGTTTAGTTCAGAATATTGGAATGAAAAGTTAAAGTGTAAAAAATAAATTAGAATTGTTACTTGTTAGTTAGTGTCTAAGTATTATATAAATTAAATAGTACCTCTGAAATAAATTGTAAATAGTGTGTTTTAAATAAACTATAAATAAATTGGATTATCGTTACAATAAGGTACCAAAAACCATAAAGCAAATTCTCCAATAAATACCATCATTGGCCGAAAAATCAAGTTATTGTATTTTAACAAAGTTGTAGTAGTTATAGAAGTTTATTTTAACCTTTGAAGACGTGTTTCCTTAATAAATTATTGTTGTGACTTATCATGTTATTCTAATAAGCCCTCAATTACAAAATAACATTTGCAATAGATTACCTGAAGCTGGTAATTGGTTGATTGTTACTGGGAAGTGTTATTGGATGAATTTAAAAAACACAAAGAACATGAACAGGACATAGAGTGTATAAAGCATTATTTGGTATTAGATAAGAGAGGCGAGGAAGAATATGAAAAAAAAAAAATAGATGACAGTGAAATATTTATGATAATGCTTCTAATATTTCAAACATATTAGTAACTCCAAAAAAGCAACTCCATAACTTATGATTCTTACTAAGCACCTGCCAATATAATGGCTGATATTGTAGTTCATTCAACACCATAAAAAGAAGTTCTAGAGAAGAAAATACAAACTCCTCTTAGTATTAATATCAACATCACAGCTAATAAAACTTCAGACAAGCCAATAATACCATCGCCATTTAAAAGGGCCTTGTTTTGGCCTGAGGAAAAAACAAAGAGGAAGGAAAAATACATTCAGATATAACCTCAGAACCATGGCAGGAATACAACAGAAAAAAGATACTATAAAAGGAACGAAAGGAAAAAGCTAAAAGGAGAGAAAAAGAGAAAGTAAAAATAAATTACAAAAAAATAAAAATATGACGAAACTAGAATTAGACGAGTCCAGTGAATATGATGTGCTTTAGGCACATTAACGAACTAAAAATGGTGATTTTGTATTGGATAATTTTTTAGGAGGCAAACGAAATGCTCAGAAGTTTACGTATGTACAGGAGATCGTTGGAGACAACATTAGTATTATTGCTTTAAACTGTATTGACACAAGCAAGAAAACATTCATTGAAAATGAAAAAGATGTTTCAACAATTTCTTTTGGTTATATTTTTGGAATACTAGAAAACCTTGAGGTGGTTTCTATTGGTGAATGTTTAAGATATGTATTTAAAAATTATGTAATAAGTGTTCATTGCCATTTTATATCTGTGTTAGCGGTGTGTCTCTACTCTCTACTACATTGGACGAGCGGGAGAAGGAAGACCAGCGCAGTAGGCAGTACTTGAATACAGTGGCAATACCACATCAACATTGTAATTGAGAATACTTGATCGTGAATTAAACCATTAAAAAAGCAGTTTAGACCTTTTTGTTAGGGATGAAACATCCCTTCTGTTAATATATGTTTATACTGTCTATATAAAATAAGAAATATGTTTGTTAAACAATGATTACTAATAGATTTTATTTTTATTAGTATTTTTCCCTCTTTGTTTAATTATTTCCATCCATTGGTACCATTTCCTACAATGACAGCTTTTGGAACATTTGGCATGTCAGGCAGTGGTTATGTCATACAGGTACATAGATAGGTGTATTGGAAAAAAATATCATTTATAAAAAAATATTTAAATTAATTAAATAGAACCCAATGCATTCAATAGCTGAATGTACAAGTGATTACTTGTTTTCTGAATTTTTTTAAGCACATTATTTTTATTTTAGTAAAATTACATTCTTATAATGTCATCTACTTGTACACTTCTTACATCCAATATTATTTTTATATACAGGGTGTTTCAAAAAGATTGGTCATAAATTATACCACATATTCTTGGGTCAAAAATAGGTCGATTAAACCGTACTTACCTATATACAAAAGTGCACCCAAAAATAGTAACAGGGTGTATAAGATACAAATTTAAATGAATTTTTTTAACATTGCTCTTAAACCGTTTGGCATTTTTTCATGAAATTTTATATGACGTGTTAGAATACCATGACTAATAATACCGAGGAAGAGGCAATATTTTTTCTTGAGTTTTATAGGTTTTTGGAGAGGGTCACCGCTCTTTTCTCCACTCAACTTTTTTGTAGTATAAAATTTAATTACAAATGAAACGCCACTGGAATGCAACATCCATTTGGAAACTTTTTGGTCTCTTAGTATTTGTTTGTAAAAAGTTTAGTTTAGACGATACAGCCATTTGAAATGACAACTTAAAAATATTCTATGGGAATATCAAAATCAAGTTTATTTTTAAATTACAAACTAATATCAAAATAAAAAAAAATTAATTTAACAGGTGTTCAAAATTACATTCTCCTCCTGCATACACTTACTACATAGTTTTAACAATGAAAATCGAATTTTGATATTTTTACATACATACAATTTACATTGAATATTTTTAAGATATCATTTTAAGTGGCTGTATCGTCTAAACCAAACATTTTACAAACAAATACTAAGAGACAAAAAAGTTTCCAAATAGATGTTGCATTTTAGTAGCGTTTGATTTTTAATAAAATTTTATATTACAAAAAAGTTGAGTAGAGAAAGGGGCGGTGACACCCTCCAAAATCCTACAAAAATAAAAAAAAATATATTGCCTCTACCTTGATTTTGTTGGTTATGGTATTCCAACACGTCATATAAAATTTCATGAAAAAATGTCAAACGGTTTAAGAGCAACGTTTAAAAAATTCATTTAAATTTTTATCTTATAACTATTTTTGGGTGCACTTTTGTATATAGGTAAGTACGGTTTAATCGACCTATTTTTGACCCAAGAATACGTGGTATAATTTATGACCAATCTTTTTGAAACACCCTGTATATTTTTAAATAATTAAAAAAATCAAAATCACAAAACAAAATTGGTAAACTTTGCAATTTATAGTATAAAAAACAAAATTGCACTACAATCATATAAAATTATTCACCGCAGCAAAAGTTCGAGATCAAAACCATCCGGCGCTCTACTACACTATTTATGATCATGGAAATTTGTAGTGAAGTAAATTTTTACTGAAAATGTTACAGCATCGCTAGTCAAATATTATTAATCTGTAAATTAGGCAGGTAAAATAATCAATAACCACAACAATAACCAGTTTGTATAACAAAAGCAAGGATAAAAAGCTGCATGTTAGTTTTAAACAATTCTTTATAGAAATTTGGCACTGCGTTTTGCATTAGACACTGAGAAGGTCTACAAGTATAAAAGCATTTAATGGATTTAAAAGTCACACTTGTGCAGCATATTTTATTACCTAATTTTTGCACTAAGTATAGTAGAATATTGGAACAAAATGGAATCCTTTTAAAAATATAGAGAAGTTTGTGGGAAAAATAAAAGACAAAAATAACAAAACTGCTGACAATTATGAACAATACAAAATAGAAAAAGATAAACAAGTTAGTAGAAGAAAATTGAAAATAATGCAGAGAAAAGTGAAAGAAGAGCTAAAGTAACCATAAATCTATTAATGTAATGCCATTAAATATAAAATTTTGGAAGCATTATATTATGATAAAAAATAAATAAAGAATATAGGTCAAGAATATTCTCAAGAACCGTCAGAACTCAAAGTAATCCTGAACAACTTGATGAAATATGGGAAGTAGATATGGATTCACCAACAACCATCAAAAACTACACGGAACTCAAAGAAAAGAAAAACATCCAGTTAAGGAGGTCCTTTCGCCACCAATGTTAAATAAAAAATATTAGATTATGACTAAAATTAATTTTTTTCTAATAGTTGAAGTCCTTATTTATCTAATAGTGAACTTTTAACTATACCTTACCATGCAAATTTTTGAGATTTTTTTTTTAAATGTGAGTATTTTTACAGTGTCTTACAAGAAAGTAAGACTTCAACAACAATTCTCGATTTATACTATTATTTATTGATTAGATGGAGTAGAAAAAAAAAACTAAAAATAAGGTTTTTGAAATATTTAGGTTTCGTTTTTTAACAATAAAATATATAGGTTACCGTGGAATTTATTGAGAAATTAATATTAAAAAATCACAAAAAATGTTCAAATAATCTAGCTTAAAATGGAGTCAAAACATTTGGCAACGTTGGGTAGCGCGAGAACTTCAGACCATTGAATACATTAAATGTAAACTTTAACGCAATTATGTTTTTCATTTATATTTATTAATTTATTTATTTTTACCAAATTTTATTTTATAATTGAAAATATCACAATAAATGAAAAATATCAGCTTATTAGAGTACTATCTAATTATTTATTTATTTATCATAATGAGATATACTTACACATTATTTATTATAATTTTTTTTATTATTTAAATAAAATAACAACACAAATGAGTAAATTGAAAACAATTTTTTATGAATAATTATTTAGTCATAATCTAATATTTTTTATTTAACATTGGTGGCGAAAGGACCTCCTTAATACCCTATACAGGAGATATCTTTAGACTGGCAGAGGACATTTATAGTTCCAATAAAAAAAGGGCGAGTATAAAGGAACCAAAAAGGACAAATGAAAACCATTCAGTATTTATGAGTGGTAATATATGACAAAAGTAACTCAATGAACTGAAATTAACACCACAGTAGGAAAATCCTTAAAACTACCACACCATGAATAAAAGAGATCTATAAATTCAATCCACACTGAAATTCTTGAAAGAAATGGTACAAAGTTTAAAGACTTCACATATGGCCATTTCACATTGATTGCCATTTTATTACACCTGAATAAGTTCAATTAAAAATATCTGGACATTACATTGTTCAAAAAAATGGGCGGGGACTAGTAAATATAACCCACAAATCGGATGACATAGAAACGCTTGTCATGCATGATGAAAAAGAAACATATGTCATTTGTTGGACCTTGTTACAAAACTATTTCAATGAATACATATTATAATCTGTGAAGTATTCATTTCAATATTCTGAAAGTTCAACATTATTATAAATTCAAAATAAGTTCATAGAATTTTCAATAAATTGGGGATTGCAGTTTCACTTACGCAATCCACATTCCTGTAGGGAATAGTATTAGCTGTATTCTCCTGTGAATCTTCCTCAGTATGTGCATGGTCATTGACAATCCATAAACCATGGTTTATATATATTTTACATTTAATCCAGACCATTCTTACATACCTCCTGTGAACTTTCATCTACTTCATGTAACTCGGGGTATTCCGGAGCATCAAAAAGAGAAGGAATTACAGTGCCTCTTAGCACTGGTGATCTGTACAGCATTGTATGAACTGAGCTGTCTTTCAAAGTTGTACAGTATTCTTTTTAGACTTCATCATAAGTAAAATGCTTTTCGTACACACGTAAATATTATTTTTGCACCTGATTCAAGTGGCTCTTTATTGCATCAAGCCATTTCTTGCTTTTCTCTGGAACCTAAAAGAAATTCGTTAGTTCAAAGGTAATATAATACCTAATAATAATAATGTTTGGTATAAATTTCCTAAAATGCAAAACATACGAAGGTCACAGGCTAAGAAGGGGGAGAGTCATGTTTTAGATTTTTATCCAATTAGTAGTTAATAAGAAAACCCTATGACCTAGTACATGTAACATAAACCAAGCCTAACTACATTTTATTATTAGACAATTTAAAAATTTACTGAGCGTTACAGACATAAAAAGTTATGAGGTTTCAAACCTTACTTCACTGAAAATTTAATTATTTTGACATTTCCCTCTTAGCCTGTACCCTTCATGTGAAAGAAATGTATACATAAATTGCCTTTCAGTACCGACTCAAATGGTTAATTCATGGTATATGCCTGGATAATTACCTGGTACCATGATGTCAATCATAAAACTCCTATCCTCAAATCTGAGACAAGAATTCACCAAGAAAATATTACTTACATGGTTGGTGCCAAACAAGCAATGGCATATTTCAAGAAAAAAAAAATGATTACAGAATTAAATTCTTTGGTGAGATGTTTCCAATCATTTCATGGCACTAAATTTTCTTATGGGACTGATACATTTGCCTCTATTATCGAACTCTAGTTGTTAATGAGCTACTATTTTATTATTACCTAAATTGATGATTGTGAAAAAATATTACTTTAAAATAAAGAGGGGTTTATGTTATTTAATAGGATTTCATTTTGAATACAAACCTTGGCGATTCGATTCTTCCTACATTTTGCAGTTCAACATTTCAGTGACATTTTTTTATTTCCTCAAAGTACTAACTACTCTTACTACATATATTAATTTATCTATGACTCTTACAGGATATACTCGATTTTACATATTATTGTTAATTGTATGTACGTTGTATGAAGATAATACTTCATAAGTACAACAGTATGTATTTCACAGTTCTGGTATTACGAATATATAAAAAAGTGTAATAAAATCACAGTTATGTTGTGAGATCGAATTGGATCGAACTATGATTTTACGACGTAAAAATTGTAAACTGAAACTAGTGAAACTGATGCAAATTGAAGATAAAAGCACGATTAATGGCAATCATTCATCATGGATAAAAGTAAAAAGTAAACAAAATCAAAATAGCAGCAAAGAAAGTGACCACAATCCACAGAACACTTACTCTCCACAATCTGTCAATTCAGTAACTAGTCATTCTTCTTCTTTTTAGATCCGTGCCCTTATGCTTATAAACATTTCGGTAAATTTTACGAATATAGCATATGACAATAGTAATAATAAACCATAAAAATAAAATCCATAAAAAAGAAGATTGATAATAATAAATATATAAAGATGGACCGTGGAACTTTTTATTTTAATTTGTCTCCAATTTTATTTTATATAATTCTGATATAATTTTTAAAAATTCGTTTTTTTTTTAAATTCAGAGTATTAAAAAGTAGATTATGCTATAAGAGTTAAGTTCAATAATGCATGAAAATATAACAGGTATGTTCATTCTAAAATATATGATCAAAAGTAAATATTTTTCTTTTTAGAAAAAGATATAAATGATGTTTTTGATGATATCTTACTTTTTGAAGAAAATGTGATCGGCCAATCTTACGACGAAGGTTTCAAAATAGGTGTACTCCAAGGAAATAAAGAGGGATATCACCTAGGATACCACAGAGGTGCAGAAATAGGTGCTGAAATAGGGTTTTATTTAGGACTAGTTGAAAAATATATAGATTATTATTCTAAATTTGAAGAGACACCAACCAAAATAATTAACTCTTTAGAAGTTTTAAAAAAGCTGACATTAGATTTCCCGAAAATTAATTCTGATGAAATTGATTTATTTGGCCTATTAAATAATATAAGAACAAGATTTAAAAAACTTTGTGCTCAAATGAAAATAAATATAAGTTATCCAGAGAAAAACAACTTAAACTTTTAAAAAATGACTTCAAGGTTAATACCATTAACAGAAACTATTGAGCAAATTGTTAATTATTTAGAACAACTGTTGCCACTAGCTAATGTTCATATGGTGGATTATTTTACGAATAATGTATATAAATCACACGTTCCTTTAAATATTCAAAAAGAAATTGCAGAATTTGGAAACAAATACATAATTGAAAGATTATTCAGTAATGACTTTAGAGATTTACCAAATTTGAACAATTATGTCAAAAAGTCACAGGAATTCACTTTAAAAAACTTAGAAATCTGTTTAAACACGGAAAACCTTATAGATAATTTATCTTTAATAGGTTGTTCCAAACCTTTGAGGTTAAAATTGGACATTTTTATGACTCCTAAAAAATCTCACGAAGTAGATATACTTAGTTATGTAGCTGCAATTGTAAAAAATATTTCTGGGACAACACATTTAATAGATATTGGAGATGGTAAAGGTTATTTAAGTTCAATGTTAGCCTTACATCATAAAATACCTGTACTAGGTGTAGATGTTTCCCAAATGAATACAGATGGAGCTGCTAAGAGAGTTAAAAAATTATCCAGAGTTTGGAATAGTGAAATCAATAAAAGGGCAAATGATAACTGTTCACCTGCATCTAAAGTAAATTATTTAGATAAAGAAAAAACTTCAGAACATTTGTACAAACAAATAACACAATATGTTGATGAAAATATTGATTTTGTAGGACTTGTATCAAATATTTTTTTAGAAAAACCTAATGGATTAGGCCTTGTAGGTTTACATACTTGTGGAAATTTAGCTCCTACTTGCTTAAGAATTTTCACTAAGAATAAAAGCATTCAAACTATTTGTAATATTGGCTGTTGTTACCATTTTATTAAAGAGGCCTTTGAGGAAGTTGATATTTGTATAAGACATAATGAAAGTACAAAAGAAGGGTTTCCAATGAGCGATTTTCTTAAAACCAAAAGGTTAAAAATTGGAAGAGCAGCAAGAATGATTGCTGCTCAGTCCATGGAAAGAATTTTAGAAAAAAAGGAGTTGCCAAATGAAACTATATTTTATAGAGCATTATTTGAAATAATTCTAAAAACAGAGTTTAAACATTTACAATCTGAGGAAAAGCATGTCGGCAGATTTAGAAAAAAACCAGCAAGTTTCTTAGATTATACAAAAAAAGCTTTAAAAAGATTAAATTTAAACATAAATATGACTGAGGTTGAAATTCAAAGTTTGTTAAATGAATATGAAGAGAGAGAATATGAACTTTACATTTTCTTTTTATTGAGAAATATGTTGTCTCCCATTATTGAAAGTCTAATTTTATTGGATAGACTTTTATATTTACAAGAAAGAGGTTTTGAAAATTCTTTTGTGGTACAATTTTTTGATCCAGTTGTATCTCCAAGATGCTATGGCTTGGTAGCTATGAAATAAAACCTATTGTATAATATTTATGTTAATTAAATTATATTTAATAAATTTTATCGTTTATTTTGGCATTGTACAGGATAGGGTGTTTAGAGACTGCTTCCATATGAAAACTACGAATTCTACAGATGATTTTATGTTGATAAGTGGTGGAATAATGCTGGTTGCTAGAGTAGATTAGTTTAGGAGGTGGACGTTATTTGTCCTTGTCCACCGCGACCTTTTCAGATCTATTGTGGGACTCCGTTTGTTTTAGAGTATGTCGTCTAGCCTGGTCTTTTTTATTAGACTTAGTAGTGTCTGTGTCTGTATCCACCATAACTCGTGAACCGATACAAAGAAAAACACCAAATTTTAAACTTAAGATTTATTCCAGCCTGCGGTGAACTGATTAGATTTTGGACAGAGTCGGAACATTTGGGGGGTACTTTATTAGTGGTCATTTTTATATTTTATGAAATATATCCGTTATTTACGTTTGGAGAAGAAAATTCTTCAAATAAAAGTTACTTATAATATTATTATTTATAATTTTTGTTCTATACAAAATTTTCCTAAAATGGTCCGTATTCGAGAAATTTGACAAAATGTAAAAAAAAATATTTTTTTATAAAAATTGTTCAAATAAAAGTTGTTTGTAATATAATTAATTCTCTATAATTTTTATCCCAGACATAATTTCTCTAAAATGGACCGTATTCGAGATATTTGAGAAAATGTGTAAATTTCGAATTTTGAAGAAAACTCAAAAACGGATAAAGGAAAAAACATTGAATTTTAAACTTAAGTTTTATTTCGGCCTGAGGTGAAATGATTAGATTTTGGACAAAGGCGGAACATTTGGGGGGGTACTTTATGGGAGGCCGTTTTTATATTTTATGGCATATATCTGTTATTTATGTTTGGAGAAGAAAATTGTTCAGATAAAAATTACATACAATATTATTATCTATAATTTTGGTTGTATACAATTTTTTTTTAAAATGGTCTGTATTCGAGAAATTTGACAAAATATAAAATTCAAATTTTTAGGAAAATTGTTTAAATAAAAGTTATTTGTGATATCGATCTCTATAATTTTTGTTTTTTATATGATTTTTCTAAAATGGACCGTATTGGAAAAATTGAAGGAAAAGTGCTAAATTTAAATTTTTCAGTATTTTCGTTTTCAATGAATATCTATAGAAAAATGTTTCGAGTTAGATGTATGTGGAAAATGTATATATTTAGTTTATCCTCTAAACATTTATAGAGGTGCTGCAATAGGTTGTACAAAATAACCGGAAAAAGCCTATAATAACTAGATAGGAAAGTCATGTGTTGGACACATCAGATTTTTTTATACATTTTAACTTCACGCTACTATTAAATGGTATTTTTTTTATTTTGGGCCAATTCTTCAATGACAACTTATTAGACTTAGGCAACTTCTCATACATTTTCCAGTAAATACTGTTGCCTGCCTATATTTTATTATTGATTTTCATTGATTATACATAATTTTCTTTAATTTAAGCGTTAAAAATATATAATAATAATAAATTAATATTTTATTTGTTTTAAAAATCCATATACTTTTATTAAAACTTTTTAATTACGAATTCTATTAAAAATTGTATTTGTCAGTATACACAGAAATAGTCCATTAATACCAAAACGAATTGGCGCTGCGGTCGCGCACGGAGCGAATAGCGGGTTGCGAAAATAAATTATTAATAATATAAAATAGTGTGTGGTGAGTTGCGGTTGTGTAAAAATAGTGGGGATGTAGTCTCAATGGAATATAATCCAGGAATGGACTTTTTTTGAATGTCCAGTATTCAACGTCCATATATAATCCAGGAATGAACTTTTTTTGAATGTCCAGTATTCAACGTCCAAATATAATCCAGAATAGGACGTTGTAAAGTTCAAAAACGACGTTAATTAGTTCCCACCTCTATTTGGAAATTCGTTTAATTTTTAGAGGTCTAATGTTATCTATTTTATCTGTCTTTTGTGTTGCAGACATGTAGGATCCATAAATGGTATAAATTTATTAATTTTATATTTGAAATTTTACTTATTTTGTAAAGCCCATAAATTTTCCCATGCTCTGCTACGAGTATTTTTGCCAAATGGGCCCTATTCAGTAATTTATCGTTTATGGACGACATCGTTAAGCTAACGACAGTTCAACCAACGACTTTTATAACGTTAATTTTTGAAACTCTATTCAATAACAAAGTCGTTACGTTGTTTCTAGTTACCAAATCTGAACGATGATTTCTAGTAAGTTGGTATTATAATTTAGTGTTTTGTGATAAAAGAACGTATGTTGATGATTATACCGAGTGTTTAAATTAAAGTGTTACAGTTAAATATCGCCGAAAATATACATTTTATAAAAAAGTTTCAGACAAAAGTTTTATATTTTTTTTGGGGGAAACATTTTGACTAAATTAATTTTTTTATAGCTGACCATAATATGGCCATATCGAGGTGGATTTTTTTTTCAAATTGGAATCCTATTTTTTACATAGGTATTCTTAGAGTTCATAAAATAATAAGAAACCTCTAAAGGAAACATTTTTTTATTGGACTTCTACCTATTATGAGTAACACCTACTTGAAAATTTTGCTGCGCGAAAAAAGTTGGCCATATTATGGTTAGCTATAAAAAAACGATTTCAGCCAAAATGTTTTCCCCAAAAACTATAAAACTTTCGTTTTTTTATAAAAGGCGGTATTTAACTGTAACACTTTAATTTGAACAGCCGGTACATTTGACATTTTTTTGGAACGTAAAATAAAAATTCTACCAGTAGATATATTCATTTGTTTTTCAGAATATATGAATTGTTCTTAACCTACAACACGATCAGGGTCGATTCTCGTCTCGTAGGAATTCTGTTTCTCGCGGGCCATTTTTGCTAGTCGTATTGTACCTATGTAGGGTTTATTTAAATGAGTATGGATATATTAAAAAAACTAAGAACTATTCCAAAAGAATACAAAAAACCACTCGAGAACAGTACAAGTTGTATTTATTGGACGTGAAAGACAGAAACCAAATTTGATATCAATCCTGCTTCCTGATTATCTTTTCTGTTCATGTCATCGGCTTTGACAACTCAGGCCATTAGCCTTGTTTTCTGTGTAGGTTACGGAGAAGTATTATCATAATAGCTACTCCATATAATAAAGGTTTTGTTACTGTTTCGCAGTGCTACTTTAGGAACAGCACTGTTAATAAGAATCCAATAGTAAATGGTCGAATAGGCAATCCTAACTTTGAATCAGATTTATTTTTAAGATAAATAAATTAGGAAAAAAAATCCTTACAAATTGTACTTGCTGTACCTATTAGGTAGATGGCAATTTAGTTGTAAAATTTGTAAAAAAGTGCTTTTATTATTTAGAACACATCCTGGTTTACAATGAAAAATGAGAGGGAATGGAAAAATTATTATAACGACACTTCATATTATTAACGACAGCTCTGTGGCTATCGTTGATGAACGACAATTTTACAACCATATTTGTCTATTTTCAACGACAATCGTTGTCTGCTGAATAAGAAAAGTCGTCTGTGAACGATTATCGTCTATTAACGACGTCGTTCAGAGTTACTGAATAGGCCCCTTTTTAATTACCGTATTTAAAAAATTATTTTATGGGACAGATTCGTTCCCGTCAACTCCGTCATGTGCTCTTGTTTATCTCCATTTAAAATTAACAAGATATCGTCGAGATAGTTTTTTAAACAAACTTTAAAGCTTTATTTAACTTTTACAGGTCTAGGTAGTTACTATAATATTGCTTGATAATCAAAAAGGTATTCCAAATAGGTATAATTTTAATATTTCGTTGTTCGTAATTTGGATATATCAAATTTGAATTTTGATTCCGTTACCCCACCACCCGTCATATCCTGCCGATGCGCACAGACGAATTTTTGGTAATAATATATTATATAAGGAAATGAACCAGTTTTTATTTTTAATTTGAAAGAAAGTCATTAAAGTTCAAAAACAATAATGATTTTGTAACAAATACTTCATAAAAAATATAACATGAAAAAAATTAGAAGTTAAAAGTTGATTTAACATCTATGGTGTTTTATTATATATATTAAATATTAAAAAAAATATATAACAGATATTAATCTATAAACTAAATCTTAAAAAGCTATGTGACTAACGCAATCACTGTCTTCTGCATCTAGTTCTTCGATCGGCAATTTCGGCTCTTTAAAAAACTGAACTACTTCTGAAGGAAAGGTTCGCAATTTTGTGGTTTCAAGTCTTTTTATACTACTTATTAAAGGGTCCGAAGAAATTAAAAGATTTTGAAAAACATTCTCAATATTTTCCAATCTTGAAAACTTTTTAGAAAAATCTTCCCTATGTATTTTAATATCTTTGTTTCTACTCTCTTGCGCCTTTTCTCCAAGTTGCCCTATTGGTAAAATGGCTGTTGAAATAATATCAGAACTATGAACCAAAATCTTGTGAACTTTTGTCGGCATCCTGTACCACTGATAAAATTCAACATATTTTTTGCCTTATCATGGCAGTACTTTTGAAATGGATTGGTATCTATTAAAAATCCAGAAGGTATTGTTGAAAGTTTAACCTTCAATCGTTTAATTATATCTAAATCTACTCTTGTAATTTTTGAGGCAACCTCTGGATCTTCGAAAAAAAAAAACGTCGAGCTGTATTGCCGTCATTAGTGCTGCCGAATCCTGGTTTTGGTTTATCTATACCAGAGGTTCTCAAACTCTTTTGTTTCATAGACCACTTTCAAAATTTTGCTGGATTACTACCAATTTCTAAATCTCGAAAAAAAAGAAGTGAAGATTAGAACGACGAATTAACAGTTTTCGAAAAAAAAAAAAAAGGTTAGAATTGATTGCTTGATAGGGTTAATTATTTGATAATAAAGTTGACTAAACAAATTTTTAATTAAATTTTAAATGAGTTGCGAGTGGATATCAAAAAAGCAAAAGCAAAGTTGGCCAAACGAAAAAGTGACTCCATCCAACTTTACTTTTTTGAAATCTACAG